GCAAATATTTCAGATGAGCTATCACATTATAACAAGGACTTATCTACCAAACGTTAGATGATTTTAAAAGAAATGTCCAATTTGGTTTGTTACACTTTGACACCCCCCAAGAATATCCTGTATGTCTGCAAACTACTTCATCCTCGTGGACTTAAAAATTCTACAAGATACTTACAGAGAACGTTAATTTTATTGCTCCTGCCAAATTATTCAAAGACATTTATCATAATATTTTAAATGAATCCTAACATCATCTTTCTCTGAGAACAAACTCATTGAACCAGGCTTCATATCCAAAACCTTTCAGGCAACAATTATGCTGGATTTAATTTAAATATGAGAAAGTAGTTCTGTTTTGTTTTTTGAACCTAATTATATAACCCCACAGAACAAGACTGTACAAAACCCTGACCCAGATTCTGACAGAAAAGCACTCAGAGCAGGGCCTGGAGTGAGTACTTGACTATCTCTACATCTTGCTGCTTTATAAAGGAGTTCTAAGTCAAACTAAGAACTGGTATTGTCTGCTGGCCTCCCAGGCTGTTCTTGAAATGTAATATAAAGAGACTTTAGGACAGTACTTCACCAAGCACAACGGGAGTAATGTTGACCTCACAGGGAGTTATGGGTCTGCTTGTGGTCTTCATCCAGTGGGATGCGTCTGGAAAACCTCCAAAAGGAGGCGCCAGAGAGGCATCAGATCTTATATTAAGATGCCCAAACCACCTAAGTTGACTAATTAAAATATGGAGAAGTCATAAAGAGGTTTACCAGAACCTCCTTACAGCCAATCAAAAGCCCTTCTTCATGGCCTCTCTGAATTTCTTCCATGTTTGAGTTTCTGCTTTAGCAACCAGAGAAGTCGAAGTCCTTCTCACTATCTGTACCTGTCACCTGCTTCATGAGTCTTCCAAGATATGCATCGACTTTCTTCGACTTGACAGCTCCATTGCTGCCAGTGTCCACCATTGAGTTCTCCAGTTGCTGCTGCAACAGGCACTAATGACCTTCTGACCACAGCTCCCAGAAGACACATCGGCAATTGAGACTGTGATTTGTGAACATGGCCCATTTGTCATCCCATAGCTCCCAAGAAGAAAAATAAAATCTACTAGAAGTGTGAGTTGAAAGTCTTGTGAACAGGGGGCTCTGCTCTACATTTTCCATTCACCCTCATAATTCATTTAGTTTTACTTGGCCTGTCTGCCCACGCCACCGGATACAACTCACCACCAGGTGGTGATCAGTTGACAGCTCTAACTCTTTTCCAGAATGTTCAAGGCATAGAGCTTCAGGTCAGATGAAACTACAACAAAAAGATCATCATCCATTATCCCATAGTGGTCTGTTACCAAGTACACTGATGGACCGACCTACAGTATGTTCACATGTTATAGCTCCCTCATCACCTGCATGGGTGTTGAACTCTCCCCGGAGAACAACAGAATCTCAGGATGGCACCCCTGCCAGCTCATCATCCACAGCCTCCAAGAACACCAATTAATCAAAATTGTTGTTTGACGACTAAGCACAAAAATCTCAGAACGTTTCCTCCATGCAGCTCAAAGTCACAGAAAAGTGACCCTCTAATTACCAGGAACTTGTTGCACCAAGGCCCTGAGCTGTGAGTATCCACACCTGCCCAGCACCTCTCCTCCTGGGTAACTCTAAGAGTCCAGCCTTTCTGCAGGGTTCTTCATCCTGTAGATGATTTTATTTTATTTTAATTTATTACGTAAAGTTTTCTAGTTGAAAACAAATTTCATGACAAATATTGGTTGGTATAATTTATATTTATTTTTTATAAATTTTGTTGGTAGATATGCAAATAAAGTGTTATCCAGCTAAATATCTGTTCCATCCATTTGTCCATCCGTCCATTTTTACATTTTTTACCCGCTTCCTTTCAGGATCACGGGGGTCACTGGTGCCCAGGTCCAGTAGTCACTGTGTGAGAGTCGGGGTACACTCCAGAGAGGTCGCAAATCCACCTAAAGGCCACATAGAGACAAACAACCCTTCACACTCTCACACCCAGGAGAAATTTATGCCCATATTTCCACTAGTGCCACTTAGTGTAGTGTCGGTACGTTTCAGTATGGTTCCAACCCATTTCCATTAGGCCAGATTCATGGAACCAGCCCTTTTTTAGTATATACTTTGTTGTGGTTCCAAGCGATCCCAGTCGACACCAAAATGTGATGTGAGAACACTGTTCGTCACTGATTGGGTAGAGGGTGGAGTCACTGGTTGCATCTGAGCTGCCTTTACAACAACCCAAAGCGCCATTTTTCCAATTGTAGCAGCAACATTAGTCGTGTTTCCATCCAATTTTATTTCAAATTTTTAGCTATTTTTTTTACAATTTCTCAAAAAGGAAAAAGAAGAAATGCAAATCGGACGTGTTTCCATCAACTGCCTTGAAGCGAATCAATCAGTCTACGCATAGTGTAATTACGTCAGATGCATGGCTGTAGTAAACAGGAAGTACAAGTCGCAAAATTCACAGGGACGCATCCCAGGACAGTGGAGAGAAGTTATCAGGAACTTTTTGCTACTATCGGGAAAGTTGTACTTATTCTGTCATATCAAATAATTCTGGCAATGTTACATGCTGTCTGGAGACGTAGAGAAAGAAATGTGATTCTCTTCATGTTATGGGTATACAGTAACTGAGAAGACATCAACAGTAGGAGGAGGGTCCAGCTGCAGTCGCTTTGGTACCGGTTTGGACAGACAGCGGGAACAGCTGATCAACACTGTGAGGTACGTTTTCGCTACTCAGAACCAGCGGCAGTTCTAGGGGCGGGGCCTCAGGGGCATTGGCCCCATCTGAAATCTGATTGGCCCCCTGAAGTGCCCCTGTCCTGTCACTCATCTGTCCTTTGCCCATGAGTGGCTGCAGTTCAACTTCCAAACAGTAGAGGCGCTATTGAGTCAAATAGGAAAGTCCAGCATGAAGCTAGCTTACACAAGTCTATTTCAATTTGAAAAATCCTGCAGAAAAAGTATTTTAACTGACAACGATGGATGGATTTTCTCACATGCTGTGTGTTTGAGAATGTTTTATTTATTTACAGTAAAAATGCATGTAAAATTGATAAGGAGTATTTACTGTTCAAGCTTTTACAAGTGTCTGCACACGTGTAACTGATTAAATTTATACACCTTACAAAAACTGGGGATTTGTGTGCAAGCATGTTGAAAAATACTTGGCCCCTTTATGAATACTGTGGCCCCTTGATGGCCCCGTACGCTGAAAAATCCTAGATCCGCCACTGGTCAGAACTTATTCGGCAAATGTGTTTCCATCTCTCATTTTGCGCATTAACTCTTTTTCGAAAAACCCAAAAACCACCTCCACCAATCGCACAAAACACTGCATAAATAATGTATGAATGCAGTTTCATTTCATTCACTGTGTATCACAGATAATTAATGAAATACAAACGAATCTCTGTGATACACAGTGAATGAAATGGTCTTGAAACAAAACCTGAGGTTCAAGTGTTTATGTACAACTGATTTTGGTTCAGTGTGTGTTGTTCTATTTCCCTATCACAGATTATACAATTATATACATTAAGTACTATACTATTTGATAGCTCAAAATGTCCAACAGACAATAGAAAGTTTAAAATCAAAATGTTTATTTAGCACTTTATCTCAACTAATGTGAGATCTTTGCATCTTCCTGCAAAGCCTGCTCATGTTTTCTAACCTGGATGCCACTATCACCGCTCTCTGCTTTAATGGTGATCGTTCACTCCAACATTTCCCGGTGACAACAAAGTTAACTGGAGCGAACAGTCCCACTGTCTGCAAGGCAAACACCACTCAATCTGTTGACCAAGTCCACGTTCTTGAAGCCAGGTCACTCAGTCATTGGAGGCCAAATGTGTCCAATTGCCTTCACACTGTTAGAGCTTGTCAACAGTGAAACACAGGCAGCCAGTCGACTCCTTTCCTTTCCATCCCTTCCATGGTTACGGCTCAGACTGCAGGTGAAGAACATCCACTCAACAAACTTCAGCTACTTTGAATGTTAATCTGATATTTTTACTACTAAAGTCTGACTAAAAAAAACTGACAACTGTTTAAAACCACACTGCAAATAATTTAGAAGTAACTCGTGGCTCTTACAGTTGTCCTACTCGATTAAAAAACAGTTTGCTTTTCCATCATCAAGCAGGTCAGAGTTGGCTCCAGCAGCAGAGACTTTGTGAGAAATTGTCCCGTGATATTTGGCTGTTTGGTTTTGATGAACAAACTAAGGGAGAGCCGGCGCTTGTCATGCTGTCGAATCTTGGATCTGCATGGTGGATTTGTGCTTCCCGAGGCCAGCTGCCACGTTCTCACTCAGGCCTTTAGCTGGTTTGAGCTGGTCTTGGCAAAAGTATTGTCCACTGTAAATTCAGTTGTAAATGTTTTTCTTTCTATAAAAAAAAAAGTTTGGTTTTCCACCGAAGACTCTGGCTTGTTACAGAAGTTACAGTGGAGATGCCAGGTTTTGTAGTGAGTGCGTTATTGATTTGATTATGCTCTTGGGTCCAATAGCTCAAGGTACATTGAGCAATACCCATATTCCATTAGGAGGACATATCCCCCCTCCACCCCCAGCACTCTCTACCCTTCACTGACCAATCAGTACCCAGGCTTTTAGCAACGCTCCTGTGGGCTGTGCTGGGTAAACAGTGCTTGCCTCAGTGTTTGTCACTAAAAGTTACCTAACCATTTATCAGCAGGACATCTGGACAGCTGGGTTCTGAATGTGCATCAGGAATCTTCAAAATAAATAAATAAATAAATAAAAAATCTACCTCACCTGCTTCTTTTGTCTCTCCCTTTCTGTACAATTTCAACAGGAGTTCTTATGGGGCAAAGCACAGAGGTAAAATCCCTCTCCCCCTGTCCCCGCCTCCCTGCTTGCTCTGGGGACGTCACTCCCCCAGCCGTGGGGTACTGTATCCAGATTTTAAGGGCAAGGCAAGGGCAGATCCTATGAAGAAACCGAGGGGAGGAGTGAAATGACTGTTGTGTGGTTAATGTGCCTGCATAGTGAATGTGTTCAGCACACTGCTGAGATCTGAGGTAGGCATCTTGTCAGATCAGTACAAATTGCTTATGGGCTTTGTGTTCAATTGCCCCACCTGAGGAGGGGAAAAAACTCTGCAGCTTTTCTTCTTTTGAGAAATTCACTTCAGTTTGGAGCTGTCATTTCCATACAGCACTGTTCTAAGGTAGGTGGTTCCAGTAAGAGAACTGGTGTCAAACAGCTATGTGTTTGTCTTTTTTAATATATTTTGTCGCTATGCTTGACTTAAACTCAAGAGGAAACAAATGTACTGACAGATGAAATCATGATTGTATTTTTCTTTTGCAAAGCTGCATACTGACTCTTAACATGTCCATGTTCAGTGTCATGTTGTTAAAACGTTATAATCTATTTTTGAATGTTACTACTAAAATTAACTTTTTATTATGTAAAATTATGTGCTGCAATAGAAACCTATGTATTTGGACAGTAGTTACACTTTATTTATGGTCAAAATGTTCAAAGAAGACTACTTACAAACCCTTCAGCAAAATGCATTATTTTCCCTCCTTATCATGATGTAGTAATCATCTGTCAGGCAATTTAAATGAGACATTTTTTAAAGCCAGGAGACAGTGACAACAAAGAAGTAGTTTTCAGTTTTCCATGCCTTTCACATTAATTAGAACAGAGAGTTACTGAGTGATTTTGCTCCATTCACGGTGGCCTGATGAATGCAGCTCTTTGAGTACTTAGATCTGCACCATGACCCCCAAACAATGGTTTTAATGGGACTCATCATCTCTGAACTTTACCAAGACTGCAGCACTTGGCAGCACTCCTGAATGCACGTCATAGATTGTAAGGTTAACATCCTTTACATTTCACGTGTTACATAACTGAATTTTCAACAGGTTTTATCAGAACAAGTTGCAAGAGCTCAAACCTGCAGAGCAGGGACAAAATCACACTGCTTAAAAGAGCCAACGTTTGATTTCTAGGAACTTTGAAAGAAGTCCTAAAATGTGCGTGCATTTAGTAGTTGCCTTCTTGTTCCAGTGATTTATTCTCTGACTTCAGAGATCTTTATTATGTCAACATATTTTACAAAACGCAACCAACAAAATTATGCATTCACACCCTGGAGCATCAGATCAAACAGGTATTTTCTTTTATTTTTTCTTTCTTTCCCTCTGTCAGCAGGTGGAAACATGTTGAAGCAGGTTCTATCGTTCGGCCGCTCCTTGGTGCGCAGGAAAGTGGTCGACCTGAACAGCCTGGAGGACTCCAAGTTGTGCCGCTGTCTGGGAACTGTTGACCTCATCGCCCTGGGGGTGGGCAGCACTCTGGGTGCCGGGGTCTACGTTTTAGCTGGAGAGGTGGCCAAGGCCGACTCTGGCCCCAGCATCGTCATCTCCTTCCTGATAGCCGCCCTGGCCTCTGTCATGGCCGGACTATGTTACGCTGAGTTCGGTGCCCGTGTACCTAAGACCGGCTCTGCGTACCTTTACAGCTATGTGACCGTAGGGGAGGTCTGGGCCTTCATTACCGGCTGGAACCTGATTCTCTCATACGTCATTGGTGAGCCACTGCCAATCTTTAAATATCATTTTATTTCAAAATTAGGCTTGTTCTGGAGAAAGTCTGTTTGTTTGTTGCCTTCAGGTACGTCCTCAGTTGCCCGAGCATGGAGTGGCACATTTGATGAAATGATCGGAGGCCACATCGAGGTATTCTGTAAAACCTATTTCAGCATGAACGCTCCTGGCTTGGCTCCATACCCTGACTTCTTTGCGGTGTGCCTGATTCTGCTGCTTTCTGGTAAGTAAACAATAAAAGCCACGATGTTCCTAAAATTCCTTGAAACATACTTATACAGAGGCTTCAGTTAACAAACGGAAATTTGAATCAGGGCGAATCAACTTGTGATTCAGAGCAGGCATAACTCAATAACAAATTAGCTGAATCTTTATAATTAGTCAAGGGGCCAAGAGGCACATCTGCAGGGTCGTGAGAGTTCACCGAGTATTCACAAACACCCTTAAACATCATCAATAGATAACAAAACAGTAACAGCTGAAAAATGTACAGTTTATCAGTTTCATAACAACTTCAGTCAATAGAGACGCTCCAGTGACCTTTTCTGGTATCTTTGGGCATTCAGTTTATTGTTCATTACACGTTGATCAGTTCACAAAAGTGGAGATGTTTTTAAAATTACATTTTTAGCTCGAACTGTAAACTCTGTCACGGGTTTAATCTGTTGGTCAGCCAGTGAAATGATTACATACCCTCAAAACAATCCATCAGTGTTCATTTGATTAGGTGAAGATAAAAAACTTCCACAGGATGCAGCAGAGATCAAACGTTTGTATAAACTAATCAGGAGCATGAATAGGACTTTTAATCAAGTTTGTTGAACTCTTCTTTTTCCTGAGTGGAATTAATTTACAAAAAAAATCCAATAACTTCTAAAAACAAGAACTTGCTGTATGAATTTGTATTTATTGTGGAATTTCCCCTAATATACACAGGTTCAAAATTTTTCACAAAGATTATACAAGAATACATCCCAATATGTGGTAAATGTATCTTTCTAAGTTGTACATCAACTTGTTGTAGCCATAAACAAACTTCTGGCAGAATTCTGGCTGGACATTTAAACACTCGTCTTGGGCTAATTTAGATTTTTCACAAATTTCAAATATGGCTAAGGTTGAGACTTTGGGGAGGTCAATCAAATACTTTATGTTAGCCTTCTTTATCCAATCAGAAACCATTTCTGATGTGTTTGGGATGTCCTGTTGGAACACCTAACTGGAACAGAGTTTCAGTCGTTTAGCCGTTTGTTTTGAGGTGAAGTTGAAGATTTCAGAGGTAGTCCTCTTATTATAATCCATCTACTTTGTGCAATTGCACCAGTACCACAGCATAATAAAGCTTCCACCATACCTGACAGTTCATACAGTGTTATTGGATTTGAAAACCCCATCATTCCTCTCCAAACATACTTCTAGCCACCGTGGCAGCACAGCTCAGTCTGTCTCAGCTGACCATAAAACTTTTGTCCAAAAGTCATTTGGCTTGTCCATGTGAGCAGCTGCAAATTTCAATTTAGCCAGAAGGTTTCACATTTGGAGCAGGGATTTCTGTTCTGGTTGGCACCTTCTCAATACATAGTGATATAAAACTGGATTCACTGTGGGCAGGAGCATTGGTGATACAGCAGTTTCCAGTTCATGACAGGCTTGATGTCATCTTCTTTTCATCAGAGTGTGACAGTTTATTCAGATGTGTCAGCAGTTTGTCAAAGTCTGGAACAACACCCAGACTTGCATGCAGTTGTTTGAGCTGACAACTTTGGCATCTGAATTTGTTTAAAAATGGCTGCAAAAGACTTTCCCAAAGACCTTTTCCAAATTTCTTTTAGGTCTTTACTGAGTTCTTTGGATGTTTTTTCCCATTGCTCTGAGTATCGGTGATCCCAATAGGTGCTGTCAAACCAGCTTTTTTTTTATTCTGGCAAAGAGAAACCATCAGCTGCAATCAATCATTATCACACATGAGATGTTTATTCAATTTTAAAAGATTTCAGTAAATTTTTCCGTAGTGACATATATTCTGTAGTTCTGTGTTAAAACCTGCTGAACCTGAACACTTAAAAAACAGATGCAGGTAAATATAAAGTAAATGCGTTACTTTTACTCAGTTCAATTGAGTGAAACTAGCTTAGATATTTTTTAAGTAAACCCACCACATCTGTTTTTGAGTTTAATGTGGTTCTGCAGCATCTTGGCATCTCTGTGAAAAACTTGGTTTCACAATTCAAGGATCCAAACTGATCACAGAAAAAGTAAAGCAGCACAACGATCACTGCTTTGTGCTGAGCTCTGCTGTGTTTGTACTCATCCAGGACTCCTGTCATTCGGAGTGAAGGAATCAGCCTGGGTCAACAAGGTCTTCACTGCAATCAACGTGCTCGTCCTGTTGTTTGTCATTATTTCCGGATTTGTCAAAGGAGACACGTACAACTGGAAGATAACGGAAGAATCTCTTATCAACGTCACCATAGTCACGAGGTAAGTTAATCAATTGATACCAGCTGATTACAGCCTGCACAGCTGTTCTTCCATATTGCTACACGTGGATCAATATTGGTTTCACTCGATGTTACAAAATGGCAATAAACATGCTTCAGGAACTTGTCAGAGACGGCCAATGTGAGCAGTGATTATGGTGTTGGGGGCTTCATGCCCTACGGCCTCAGTGGGACATTAGCTGGAGCTGCCACCTGCTTCTATGCTTTTGTTGGATTTGACTGCATTGCAACAACAGGTGAGTTATTGTACAGGCTGTGGCTAGGGGTGGCTCATGCTTACTTAATATAATAAAAATATTCATATGTAATTGTGTGTTTGTGTTCAACAGGTGAGGAGGTGAAGAATCCACAGAAGGCCATTCCCATTGGCATTGTGTCATCGCTCACAGTGTGCTTCCTGGCGTATTTTGGGGTGTCGGCTGCACTCACCCTCATGATGCCTTATTACCTGCTGGATGAGAAAAGCCCCCTGCCCATGGCCTTTGAATATGTGGGCTGGGGTCCTGCCAAATATGTTGTCGCTGTGGGGTCACTGTGCGCCCTGTCCACCAGGTAAAAAGAGTTTAGAAAATGGGCATTTATCGATGTGAATATCAGAAAATCAAAGAATTCAGGCAGATTAAATATTGAACTTAATTTTCGATAAATGTTATGAATGGTGGGTGAGATTTGGTCAAAAGTTTTGACTGTATCTCTTTAAGTCTTTTAATTGGATTGATTCCTGTTACAGCTTGTGGTGGGTGCAGTGCTTTGTTCTCTCTGTTTTTGGAACCCCAGCATGTTTCTTCTAAAATTTATTGAACAGGTTTCCTCAAAATATTGTTGGGATGTAATTCTGACTTTCTTCCTTGTCAGTATGAGATGTCTAAGTTTTTCCTAAAGGGACAGTTTAGATCTTTTAAAAAGGGGTTTTGTAAAAAGTTTATGAACAAATAATATCTTACCTGCCATGGATGGCTTTTGTAAGACCTCAATTTAGAGAAATTGCAACATCTAAACATCATAAAACTGCAGCCATTTCTTATCGTATATGATAAACTGGACACATGAACATAATACAGAAGTTCAACCAAAGAAAATAAGAACCCTACAGTAAACTGGACCCAATAAAAGTCATTTTCCCAATTAAAATATAAAAAAACTCTTATTTTGTTACATTACATAGCTTAACCCTCCGGTTATGTTAGTTTCTGTGGAACAGCAATAATGTTCCTGGGTCAATTTGACCCGGGGCATGTTTAATCGTGCTAGAGTGTCAGAAACCAAAAAAATCACCCAAAACTTTTATATCTGATTATAAACTCCATTACTAACAATTTCAATAAATATTAGTGAATTGATGTTTTTTTTAAATTTCAGCTAAATAGTCAATGAGGTCAATTCACTGTTTTCCTTAAAAAAAGCATGTACATTTTTTTATGTCCAATACAAAAACATATACACAAAAAAATCAATGATTATTCATTAAATTCATTTTTTAACTTTTTTTTCTATAAGTGATGTTTATAATTGAACTTGAGACA